TCCAGGACGCCCATGGACACTACACCGGTTCGGCGGGATGGATTCCGAAGATATGGACCCAGGAACCCTGCTCCGGAAGTACCAGCGGAAGAAAATTAGGATGATGATCCACCTTCTGAAACTTACATCCCTAATGTAGAAAATAGACCCCTTATTAGGGATGTACCTCCAGGCATGTCACGTAATGCGAGACTGAGATGGAGGCTGCAGGAAAGAAATAGAATCCGCCAACTGCAGAGCAATGAAGGAAGCAGAGGTGCAGAGAGTGGATATATTGCTAGCAGACGGAAGCAGAGTTGAAGAGGGTGGAAACAATGTTGGCAGAAGACAAACTCAGTGGGGCGGTCAACGAGTGCACCAACAAAAGTAATAAATGCAATAAAGGTGACCATATCAATATAATTCCAAAGACCGTATCCTTCAACGAAACCAAAAACAAAGTATATACCATGTATGCATGGCAATATGCGTACAAAGAAGCACGAGGTAGTAGCTGGGAGGTAGCAGATAGATGTAGGTTTCAAAGGCGAGTGCAATCTACGTGACACTAGATTAAAGACAAAAAGTGTTTACAGAAAGGTTTGAAAATGTAAATTAGTGAAGTGAAGGTATGTCTGTGATATGCATAAGATTAGTATGAAGTTAGATTTTGTAAGTTTTAACTGTAAAATAAAATTGTAATGTGATATAAAGAAAAAAGGGAAAACCCACGCTTAAAATAGTGAAGTTTGGAGTGCACGTATTGCAATCGAGATTAATAGAATCAAACGATTCAATGTCGATGCAGTGTGATTGTACAAATGAAAAGATATTCTGTAATTTGTGTAAATATTCCTATAAATACATATTGATAACCATTTACATGCTGACGACTCATTGAATAAAAAAAGCTAATATGTTTTGATAATTGTTTTATTTAAAAAAATTATGACATGATAAATTTCTTATACAAATAAAATACGTTGGATAGTGCACACATGGTGATAGGCTTGGAGTGATAGAAACATGCAGTGCTAGCGGGTTCAAATTCGATGACGGGTTTGCGGGAAAACCGTCTCAAGTAGTTTGCTTTTTCGATTCCTTTGACGAAAATTCGATCTGCATGCTTCGTTAAGTCATCCATAATTTTTGGAAAGGTATGTAGTGGAGTAAAACCAGAGTTCCAATTTATACAGTGATGAAGCTGCATCAACCAAGTAGCTTGTGTTTGTAAGTCCGGTGGGAGCAGATCCAGTGCAAAAGGGGGCTTGAAGACATAGTCACATATTTGTTGTCCATCATACCCAGCAACTTCTTTAACAATAAATTTATTATGTTCGATTTTGAATCCTTGCACATCCAAAACAAGATTCATATTCGCAAAACAGCAAAGTGATGGAAAACACACTGTTGCAAGCAATATGATCCAATGTCTTAACTGTTCAAGTTTAGAGACGTATCGCTCAAGAGCTTTGTAGTAAACGAGCTTCATAATAAAACTGACCAGGAAATGTGGGAAATGAGGTTTTTATAGACTCAAGTTTAACGTTGTTTAACGATTTTTGTCAAAGGGTTGTAATAAAAAAGACGATCATGGAGAATAAGGCAATAAGCGGACGAGTTTGGCAGTATATTTTCACTTGGTTTTTTCAACAAAATGTCGTCTCACGTGTAATATTTTTAACTTGTTCGGATGGATTGATATTTTTAAAATTTAACGAAGGTATCTGTCGTTTTTCAACAAGCCCAATGTCCCCGTCCTTTTGTTTTTATACTAATTATAAGTTCGTTCTTCTCTACGTTCGTTTTGAAACACCTTGTGGCTGCAACCTCACCGACGAAATCCTGATGAAGGCTCCATAGAGAATGCCGAAAGCTTGATTTTATCGTCAAAAGAGTCAACTTAAGCGTAAAAGATTTGCCAATTTCCCAATTAACAATTAATTGTATTTTGTACACCAACTAATTGATACACCTGCATATCAAGAGTATCTTGAAGGCTTTCACCCTGTACCTCGAAAATATGTTGATGAGTCAATTCGTGGGAACGAGCGCGAGTTTGATTGTTATTATGGATTAACACATGATATTGTTTCTGACAAATTTCAACTCGGTAAAAGTTCGGTTACGCTAGACGGAGCAAATATCGTGGTGGAAAATGTAACATATCCTGGCACACCTGAATTATATGAACTGCTTTCAAAAAAGAACCAATTGGTTATAAGCAGAGTGATCTAGATCAGTGTATGGATATACTACGTCACACAAATGCATATCGCAGAAATTTTGAACCTAATACTCAAATACGGGGTAGTACGTCCTACAAATATCGAAATATAATTCGACCATACTTACATCAGCATAACATTCTAAAGCAGCAGGGCATACTCAGATCCGGCTCCTTTGAGAAACCTCCACCTCCTAAGAGTCAGTTACGACGAACACACTCATTCAAACATACAGGTCAAGGAATGTTCCACTTATCAAATAAACCAATCGACTACATCTATTTTGATGATCCAAATGAATTGGTTGCTCGTTTACGTCTGTTGTTAGCTTCACAGTATGCTGGTAATCATGGACATCGTAACGAGATTATGTCTATAATTGAGGAGTTACGTGAATTAAAAATTATAAAATGAGAAATGAATTTGTAACGTAATATTACTTTATTTACATTGCTGCAGTTGTAGGATCAAGATGCCAATTGATAAATTTGGAAGACATATGCTCCGCTCAAAAAAGACGGACACTGCTGCAATCTTCGGTACTTTTCTAAGATCCAACCTATCCAGCGTATGTGTGGTACCCACTTATTCCTCCACATCCAGCGAGCAGTTTTACACATTTAACGACAATAGCAAGGACTATATCGTTCCTGTGACAGGGATTGTTGATAGTATAAATTTTCCGCCAAAAGTAAGAGTGACAATTGGTTTAAATAGTCTCACCGACAACACACCTCTCACGAAAGGTGATATTCTCCATTTCTTCACATCTAAAGAACCCCGACCAGAGCAGCTTATAGCAAATATTGTAATGCTCTGTCCATTGATACAACAATGATCGACTTTAAAAAGCAGGTTGTTGAAGAACTGCATAAACCAGCTCGACGAAATTATAGACGTCGGCGCGTTATTCTGAATGGGTCAACGATCTCCTGCAGGCAGATTTGGTGGAAATGCTTCCGTATCAGAAAGTGAACAAAGGATTCCGATATATTTTAATTGTCATCAACGTTTTTAGTAAATTTGTGTGGGCAGAACCAGTTAAACCAAAAACCGGAAAAGATGTTACAACTGCAATGAGAGCGATTCTGTCGCACATGAAGTCAATTCCAAAAAATTTACAAACAGACTTGGGTAAAGAATTCTACAATAGTGATTTTACGAAGTTAATCGAAGAGTACAAAATTAATCATTACAGCACCTACTTATCGACCAAAGCAAGTGTAGTTGAAAGGGTGAATCGGACTTTAAAGAATCGTATGTGGAAGCAGTTCAGCCTTCAGGGATCGTACAAATTGCTAGATATCCTATCGTCAGTCGTTGACGGGTATAATAACACCAAACACAGTACAATTGGAATCAAACCCAAAGACGTAAACAAACGTACAGAAAAAACATTATTGAATACGGTTTATACACATTTGAAAACGGTAGATCCAAAGGGTGTAAAATATCAAACTGGAAATCACGTCCACATAAGCAAACATAGAACAGCATTTGCTAAAGGATACACTCCTAATTGGTCCAATGAAATTTTTACAATTCGTAAAGTACAGTATACCAATCCTACATCATACTTATTTGCAGATTGGCGTGATGACGAGATATTAGGTGAATTTTATGCTGAAGAGCTTCAAAAAGTCAAGTATCCAAACATCTATTTTGTGGAGAAAGTGGTTCGACGTAAAGGCAATAAAGTGCTAGTGAAGTACTTAGGACTGGATAGCAGCTATAATTCGTGGATTAAAAAAAAGTGATTTACTTGTATGACAAATGTACCTCTATTTTCTCTAATGATCTCTATAGCAAACTTTTTTCAATAAAACACTCTACGTAATATAAGGTTTTTATTACAAATATACTGAGAATAGTTAGGATAAGTAATTTGAATAAAAGTTCAGTGTTGGAGCTTTGTTGAATTCCTTCAAGTTTGGATATTGGTATGCCAGTTCCATAGCAGTCCTGATGTTCTCCGAATGCGTTACTCCACCGATCTTCAATTTTGATGGTTTGAAAATCTGGAAATCTATCAAAGCTGATACAGAAGGAGTTACCTTGGATCGGATGGAAAATATCATCACTGAAGAAAAAATTGGTTATAATGCCTTCTTGATTCAATACTTCATACCAATCTTCTTCATTAAACGTAACGCCCTCGGTTTTTAAACCCTTGATATTGATTACAGGTTGGAAGCTCCATTGATATGCTCGCCCAATCGTGATTCATTTTGATTTAGATGGATTTACATGATAGCGTTGCTCCTGGATGACAATTAACGGTGGCTGAGCTACACCACTTTGTACAGATCGTACCCCCTTGTCGTTCTGCACATTTGTAACATGTTTGACACCACCGGCACTACTCATGTTGTAACACTATGTGAAATGTAGAAGACTGGTATGTGATGCTGAATAGCTACTTTTATACAGTGTCGATACTCCCTCCACTCACAAACACTCCCCTCCCAAAAATTGGCTCAGATGCAATGGAAAATGGTACTACCATTCATGAAGATATATTTATTTATGATATATTTCTGTCATACAACACAGAAAGAATTATTGCGTTTTGGATAAATCGCATAAGACACTCAAACATGCAACATAATCTTCAAATTTGGTGGATGGCCATTTCACACCGCATGGTCTATAACTCCATCCTAGTGAATTATCTCCAATATTACCTTTGGCTACGTTTTTCTTTAACCATTTAAATACAGTACAATGTCTTATCTTATTTTCTATATCAAATACAAATTTAATATCATGCTGCTGTATCACATCGATTAGACTCTTCAGTGATGCACAATCAGCCAGATATACAATTTTACATATGGTTTCATCGATATGGGATACACTGTCTTTATATCTCTTAGTAATATTTTCTACAGGATGTGGTTTATCTACATCTTCATAGTTACTGTCAGATAACAACTTACACAAATAGTATTGTTCATACGCTGATGGTGTGCAGTGCATGTTTGCCAGCAGGTCTCCAAATTCTTTGCTCCTTAAAACCTCACAACCTCTATCCTTTACACTTTGTAGCGTTTCCTGTACCACCCAGTCAAGATGTTTCTTGCTTGTTATTAAACTGGAAAGCACATCGGGATAGCAACTATCTGCATTTAAAATCCAGTTGAATACTTCGTCGGGTACTGTAATTTCCTCCAGTACAAAACTCAGCACTGGAAATTCTCGTTTTTCTGGATTTTGAGACACAAACTGTTGGAGCTGTTTTTTCAACACCTCTTCAGTTACATGACATAATTGCATGAACAGTGAATAGTTTGTCTTGGTACTCATCTTTAAAACTGAAGAAGGTGAGTGGGTAAAGCATATATTTATATTCTTGTCCCCACCACAAAGCTCAAATTTCTGATCATTTCATCTGATCACTAGTCAACTCACTGGCTTCGTTCATTAGGCGCAGCAAGAGGTCCAACCACTCTTCGTCCGACATGTTATGAAAGGTGATATCTTGATGACCCCAAGCTAATGTCTTTGTTGAGTTTGGTATCAAGAAACGTTTATCGTCCATACTGATTAATGCCACTTTTCTTATATAATTTGTATATATATTGTGCGACTCCGATTTAAATACATAAATCGTACAGTAAACAGATGTCCATTTCTCCTCAACAATATCCTTATAATGTAACAAATGTAATTGATGTTTCACACATTTGGCTCGTTTAGCCACTTGATCTACAGCATCGATACAGTATGCTTTGGGACCTGTACCATAAAAGGCAGACAGTACCTTGCCACCATATTCGTCTTTCATCTTACCCAACTCTGACGCTGTTCGAGGCATGTTATGTGGGTTGTCAGCATCATAATTGGATGTGTCAAAGTAATGCATGTGTGATTTCATGTCTTCATAAAAAATAACGGGTTCAACATGTACTATTAACGAATCAGTGTCCGTGTATGCTAACGACACCTTATCACTATATTGGTGTTTCAGAAAGTTATAGAAAAAGTCATATATTACCGTTTGAAAGTTATAGAAAAAGTCATATATTACCGTTTTTGAGACATCTAAAATACAAAATCCAACATATGTGGGACGGCAATAATCAATCATTGTTTTTTTCTCCATTTGAATAGCTACTAAGTTTTCAGAAAATATTCTGTGTTCTTTAAAAGTTGGTTTACTAATATAATTTTCAGCAGCTATTCTGTGTTTCGATTTTTCAAATTGAGTCGCTAATTTGATATCGACTCTGTTCTCCATGTTTTCAATCGTTTTGCCAAATATACAATTGATCATTAGTTTGAACAAATGTCTTTCAAACGGATTCAGTGCTGCATTTCTAAGTGCCGTGTTTAACAGTATATAGGACTTTAACCACGCTGCTTGTCTGAATTTGATACCTCTATGAATTTTCGTCAAGATAATACCATGTTTCAAACATTGTTTTAGATTACGATAATGGATAATGTAGCGCCCTTTGTTGTCTAAATTTGGAATTAATTTTGAGCTTTGACTGTTGGGTGGTTTAAAATTTTCTGGACAAAATGGTAAATCATTGAAATAATCATGAAGCTCATTCGGTATTGATAAATCAACTTCTAATGCATATCCAATATCCGATGTATTTGAAATTTGTGTAATTGTTTCTTTAATCCTATCCATCTCATGTTGCATTAACCAAGCAAAATGACCAGTCGGTAGGTACTGCTGCATAGATTATCCATACAAATTCGACACATCAAGGTACATTAAGTACGATGATGTCTTTGATGGATCGTAATGAGGTAAAAATTTATTGTTCGCCTCGACTTTCCGTGAGGTACACGTGCTGACTCCTCCGCGGATCTCCTTTTTAAAAAATGTACCATATCCACATCTGTAAGCAGCTCTAACTCTACTTTAGTATATCGTAGCATTGCATCCCAACTCAAACCAGGGGCTGTAAAATAGTGAGCTGGATCCAGCTTGTACGTTTTTAAACACAAATCTCTAAAATTTTCAAAGATATCTGTTAAAAGAAAAACATCAGAAGTCAAGTAAAAGTCCGAGTATTCCCCCAAATTTTTACACCCCATTATTTCCCAAACATGATCCTCGTCTGCAATGTGTTCAACACGTATTTCGTCATAAAAGTCTTGTTGGGATGGTAAACATGTTTCATTGTGTTTATCAAATGTTTTAAGATATGTATAGGGAAATATACCTTTACATCTCATGTAGGAGAATCTTTCGTTCTCGGGAAACACTTTTCGTACTGTCCGACATTGCTCTGCGCTTAAAAAGGATGCCAAAGTTTCTAATTTTGACGAAAGAAACTGATATGAATCGACAAATCTCATTTGCAAAAATACGGTTTTTTGTTTTCCCTCTTAGTAGATGGTCTATGGGGATTCGGTCTCAAAACTTCCAAAATCCGCCACCAGAGGCGCTGGCGTCGCGCGCCATTGACAGGTTGTTGGACGGAATCTGTATTCATGAGTTGGGGATTCCGCCGCTAGATGGCGCTGTCAAACCAAACGGAATCTGTGTGTCATTGGACACCTGTCATGCGTCATTGGGCATCTCACGCATAGATGGCGTTACACGTCATCTGTCATACGTCATTGGACACCTGTCATTGATGGGTTGAGCATCTCGCGCATAAATGGCGTAGATTTGTTTGGCGGTGTACAAACCTAACGGAATCTATGCGTCATTGGACAGCTGCCATTGATGGGTTGGGCATCTCGCGCATAGATGGCGCCGATGTCGCACCTGTCTGGTGTTGGCGTGGATTACGGGGGGCAACGTGTATACAGGGGTGCATCGAAAAATAGCGGATCGATGGACCGACGGTATATCGTTAAATCGTATATAGCAAGGCGTGACCTAAATAGCGTGGTGGGCTCCTCTGGTCGGTCGGTCGGTCGGTCAGAATGTCTCATAACCTGTATACGATGTACTGTTATTATTATACAGGATGATACCGTTCAAAATGAAAATAGTATAATGGATATTTTATTGAAACATATAGTATATATAACAATAAGGTTGATTGGTGTGTGTGTGTGTGCCATGTTTTGAATACCCGCGCTTGAACAACTTGCAACAAGAAATTCCGACAATATTATTTCGCAAACCAGAGGTATTTTCAATAAAACTACATATCAGGGAGTACTTTAGATGTTGATACTAATCGACTCAAATCATTGTTCGACAACTGATTTGGTTCATGACAGACAAGAATCAAATTATGTATTTCACGGTTCAGTTCTGGTTGTTTTTTAATTTTTTCCCTAAACTTCAGGTAACCCAGGAAATATGTCTCTTATCCGTCCTCTGTTCAACACATCAGTAAAATCGTTAGAAAATTCTATATATGACATATTATTATAAAAGGTATAGGACCGTCCTGCGTTTGATTGAAAAATAGCATTGATTCGAGCCCTATCGGGTATATCAATTGAAAAATTATCAAGAAATTTAATGGTAGGGAATGATGCTGAGAAATAGTTGTTTGGAGACACAATGGTAATCAAGTCACCGTTTGTTGATTGGAAAATATGTTGTAAAGTGTATTGACGTAATTCTGTAGGAACATAATCGACAAGAAGTTCAGGCTGAGATGGGATAATCATTTCGTTTAAGTCTAGTTTCCATATAAACATATCATGTGCAATATATAATCGGTAATTTGAAAACTCTGGAGCAATAGCTAAAAACATAAAATCTGGAATAATATCACACAAATTTTTGAGGATCGGCTGCTTACGAGTTGTAGATCTTATAGTTGTTGTTGTTTTTGGTATTGCTGATGCGGTGGTAGACGTTGGGATTGAATCATATTTGTTTTTTCTTCCATATAGATATTGTACTGCATTTATATCATCAACATCTAGACCACGAATCTCATGCTGATAGAAGGCAAACATAATAGCATTCGGAGAAGCACTATGTGCTATGCCGAGAGCATGTCCAATTTCATGAACCAACACCTGATAGAGAATGATGTCAAAAATCTCAGATAGCAAATATAAATTCGTTTACCCCCCAATCAAAATCTTGACTGAAAAAAAATTAGGCAGCAAATATACAATAATCATACACGAATTTACTATATTTCTAAATTTCTACTCTCATGTGCAACTTGTAATTGGAATTTCCGCCGGACAAACGATACATTCATGTATTACTAAGAAATTATATAAAAAATACTGCAACCGCAATTAATGTTGTTTTCTCGATAAAAATGGTACTGAGAATATGATGCATATAATATGCATATTTACGATACAATTATCTCATGCACGCGTGTGTTATCTCAACCACGTATTTATATTTAGCGAGCGCATGCAATAGTCATCATTGTTTCACACTTAACGCACAACGCTGCAAGCTGGAACAACGGCCGCAGTACAATAGTGCTTCGAGAGAGACGAGATAGCGAAAATTTTAAAAAAAGTAAGTGCTATTTTATTTAATATTTTTCTTTTTTATGTCTCTAAGTGCAACTGTTTTTTCGTGTTATGCTTCAAAATAGTTAGACGACTCAATTTTTTTATAGATGGATTTATCAAAAATTAATGCTGCGTCTTCGATTGTAGACCGCAAACCTATCAGAAAATTAAAGGACCTACCAGTCGGGACACCATTTGCAATCCAAGCAGCTAAAGTGGTCAAGTCGAAATTTGGGGAAGCCGTGCTACTAGATTTAGGACCGGAAGTGCTATTTCTACCACAGCGGGTGACGGAAACGTACCAGCCGGTCATCGACGAACTTTTTCACGGAAAATACTCGATCATCTTCCAAGGGGAAGTGGACGTAGGGAAAAGCCGACCGCTAGCATCATTCAAAATAGTGGAAAATTAACAAAGCAGAGAACAGGAGGAGGAGGACAGGGTGAGCATTTTTATATATTTTTGAGTAATGTGTTTGCTTGAAAAAAAAAATGTCGTCTTTTCAAATGTCTTCAAATAAGGTTAAAAGATCATCAAACAAACAGACGGTGTTCTACTATCAATTGTTAGTCTACGGAAAATTTTATTTGATAATTTTACAATCAGAGACGCGGAAGTGTGGCTGAAACGAATAGAAAAACAAATTAGATTATGTAAACGGGTAATTCGTAGTAGAAGGCAAAATAAATTATCTGTAGGGACCTGTAGAAAAGTAGAAACAAATTTGGGGCATTTTAAACATTTTAGAAAGTTGATTTTAACTAGACATATTGGGGCAGGACTTCACTTAACATTGGGTCAGAGGGTTAGATGGGAAAATGTAGAATCGAGCTTTCAAAGTAGAATAAAAACCGGTTCC